GTGTGCCTGAAAGCATTGTGTAAAACACACAGACAATGTTGGGGAAATAAGCCAATTATGTGGGCTTCACAGGAGGTGGGGGACTGACCTTTGTGTATAATTAGTTCTTTTATTTAAAGCAAAGATTTTGAATAGAATAACTAATTAGCTGTCATAAATGGCAAATTGAAGATTTTGGCCAGATTCCTTGGGGAGTGTGGGAGGACGTCCCTCCTCCCACCCGGTACTGTACGCTCTCACTCTCCTCATTAGGGTTGTTTTTAGTTCTCTGCAGTGGTAATGAGGAGTGCAGTGGCGGCACTCATCGGAGCCCCCTCTAACAAGGCATGAAATGCAGGTGGAGGAGAACCGCCTTCAGCTCCTGCCGCTTTCACTTGGCACATGTGTGTGTAGCAGAGGGCTCGGGTGGGAGAGGGGGAGGCCGAGGGGGGCTGCGGGAAGTCGGAGAGGCGTCTGGAAAGTCCTGGTGATATCACCTGTGTTCTATGCTCTGGACTTGACTGTATAAAATACAGGCAAGCTGCGAAGCCTTGAGGCATATATCATTAGCCAGCAGTCCCGCATTACTCTTTCAGACCAATTAACCTTTAGAGTTGCATTAAAGAAATTAGGTGGTGAACTTCCATGCTTTCAGAGGGGACCAGTAGCTCTCTTGCAGACCAGAGCACTGTGGAGCCGTACGCCGTAGGACCATTGCAGATAACTGTTATTTAAAGTGTCTACCATTTATAAAAAGTTCCCAGGCTCTCTTGGAAATGAGGCTTTATGAACAGTGCCCTTAAAGGAACTGCAGCTGATTGCCATGTGAATAGAATATCAGTAAAATGGCTTAGAAAAATTTAGAGGTGTACTTAGTGGACACTTGTGTTGTTACAAAGACAGCTGAATAATTTTACAGAAAGACCCTGACTGAGAAGATACGGGCTGATTAAAGCTAGTTTGTCTGACTGTGAATAGAGGTAAAGTTTAGATTACTCGCTACAGCAACAGCCTCTTTAGACACAGCCATAAATTTCAGTATGTCCAGAGGTGGTGTCTATAATTTTTTAATGTGCATTGGAGCTCCGAGCACTCAGAACAGGTTTTGTTTTGTATTTACCAGCAGCAAGTCTATTAAGTTGTAAAGGGCAAAGAAGGGAGTGTAGGTAGCCAAAAATAGAAAGGTTTCATCTACTGTTTCTAAGAAAAGATGGCGATGGATGACTAGCAACAGGAGAGGAGAGAGCAACTTGATGGGACTTCCAGAATTTGGTGATCAGTCAGCATTCCCTTTGTGATCATGTATTTAAACGGATGAGTGTCCAGCTGTTAATTTTCCTACCTCTGCAACACAACTTCTCATTTTCTAATCCTTGCCCGCAGAGCGCAGGTGGAATTTGTCAGAGGTGAACCCTTTGTTTCTTGACAGCCCCGGTTAGACACCATGTGCCCCTGATCAAATTGAACTAGGTATCTTGGCATTTTTGGTAAGTACTGGGGAAAAAAATCTACATAGAGAAATGAAGCAGCATCGCAGTCTTGCAGTGGGGAAATTTCCAAAAAGAAAGAGCAGCTCTCCAGGTGGTTTCTGTCTGCAAAGCCCAGACTGCTTGGGGTTTGCTGGAAGGGAGGCAGGAGGAGGAAAGTGGGGTTTGGTGTTGGCTGTGTCCTCTCTCTGCAAGCCTCCGACCATGAAAGGGGTTAAGCTTCTGAGATGCTGCTCTCTTGTTGCTTGGAAATGACATGGCAGGCGTGTGAGGAACACTTGCTGATCAAGTTTGGCAGTTTTTGAAATTTTGTTTCACGCCTTGCCTGCTGTGTCAACTCACCAGCTAATTGCAGCTGCAACTTTCTGTAGTAGTGTGCTCCGTGCAGACCGGTTGGTTGGGATATCGGAGGGAAGCCTCACAGACCATAATGTAATTTCAAAACACTGAACCTGACCAGCAGAGGCTGACCTTGCTCGTTATTATCTGAGTGCGAATAGCAGCTTTGAACATCATATGATCTCTGAAATGGTACCTTTTTTCATTAGAA